TATATGTATACGCCTATAATACCCGTATCAATAATGTCAATAAAAGATAAATAAATATCATTTCAAACAACAGATTTGCATAGTATTCCATGTTTTTATATGTAGAATACCCGGAATATATGTTATGTCATTTTTACAATTTGTTTCTCGGGAATACCATTTCTAGTATTTCGTATGTAATTCCATTGATTAAAAAAAAAAGCATCATTGCAAGTACGAATTGAAAAGTTTTATCATTGCACACATTAATACGTAAGTATGCATTGTTTTATTCTCGAATCTCTTTCGGTCGCGCCATTCTTTTCCTACCTTCGGCGAGAATCGAAATCTCGCCACGAGCCGTAGGCCTAGGCCGTAACCGTAGGTATTCCATCGTTCTCCTGATGGGCAGAATTGTAGTGGCACTAATGGGAACATGTGGAACAACGTAACAAAACAATCGATACGATCCAGTATGTGTTGCGAGTGATATTTGACAAAATGTGACTCGAGCAGCCATCTTGTGTGCTTCATCGGCGTCTGTCACAATCGCATGGACACACCTCACGACCAGCCAATAGTATAAAATTCAAAATTCCACTTCGTTTTACTTTTTAAGTATTAGTATGTGAAATTGTGAATTTGGATAAACTGCCGCAGTCTACTTATGACTACAGGCATTCTGCTTCTTCCTTATTCTTTCCTCTGATTATTCTTCTGACAATGTCACAGCATTTGGGTTGAACCATGCGTGTGCATGGACCACATGTCCACTGTTGTTGTCAATGAAACAAACTGCACATAATACAATTCATTAGTATAAATAACGAATATACAAGTTCATATAAGAAATGTTAACAATTTTAGAAACATAAACAGTAATTGATTTATATCTTGAGTTTATGTATGTACATATACATGATTTGTCATATGTAACTGTCTGGACCATGTGTCAATTTGTTTCTCATTTAATCCTCTCCGTTGTTGTCCATGAAACAGAATGCACATAATACACAATTCATTAGTATAAATAACAAATATACAAGTTAATATGAGAAATATTAACAATTTTCTAAAAACATAAAAAGTAATAATTCATACCTTGAAATTATACAGGTGTTCAAACATTGCGTATACATCATATATACCATACAGTTATGTACATACATATGACAAATGATGTACACTAAAAACTAAATAAGACAATAACTGCGAAATGACGAATTTCGGTCTTGTTTGCGCATATTCCTCTCGATTACTTTAGTTACCTACCTCTTAAACAATTGAGCATCATTATGCCTCGTGTAGCATCATACACCGAGTGACTGTGAAGTATAAACGTGAAAATTCATAAGTATTCATGTCTTGAGAAATACTTTGCAACGGTTGTCGCTGCGGGACGGAGGAAGGAGGCCAGCTCAGTCGGCTGCCAGGGGTCGAACGAATGAGTCGAGTCCAGTCTGGGTAACAAGCGGGTTTATTCGGTTTACGGGGTTACAAAAGTCGGGGTCCTTATTACCTACTCTTATCTGCTAGCTTATACCTAACGGTGTCGGAACGGCGCGGCGGTCTGAACGCGCGGTATAGTCGGTCGGCGGTGCGGCGGTGTGAACGCGGCGGTCTTAGTCGGTCGGCGGCGCTGCGGTGTGAACGCGGCGGTCTCGTCGGTCGTCGGCGCGGCGGTCTGAACGCGGCGGTTTAGTCGGCGTGGTGGAGGGGGTGGTGCCCTCGACCGTGGGACGTGCCAGGGGCCGTTCCGTAGGTCGGGTGGAGGAGACCCGTTGTGTCCCCGCCCCCTTAGGTGATGGCCTACGGGGGAAGAGGGGTCAGGATGGCCCCATCAGTGGGTTTGACCCGACACTGTCGGAGGGCCTTTGGGTTGAAGGCTTACCTGCATGCACTGGGACAGTGCCCCAGTGAATGAGTGCCTTGGGTGTGGGAAGAAGATCCAAAAAGCAGAGAGCTCGATTGCGGTCGGTATATGCCGGTGCGCAGGGAGTCGAGATCTGCCCCGATTGTGCCTCGCGCCGCGGTATTAGTAGCCGCGAGGCACAATCTTATCAGCGAGAACCGCGAGGCGCGCGTAGCCATCTCGCGGCCGCGACGGTAGTTGCCTCGCGGTGTCTCGCTGGCGTCGCGTGGGGATGTCGTAACGAATTATTCGTTACAACTTCATTATGTCACACGGTGTATGACAAATTCTATCGTCCCTGTTACAGAAAGCGATAAAGTGGGGGAAACAGGGGTTCGAGAGACCTCTCCTGCTCATTCGAGATGCGCGAAACAGTTATGCTCTTATTTGGCGTTTAGTTACATGTATATATACAAGGGGTTAAAAAAACCATTCAATATTTATATGATACATAGAACACACTGTACTGAGTAAAAAAACCTTAGTATACACAGGTCGAAAGGTCAACCGTTTCTGAGATATAAATATTTTTGTCTAAAATAATTCCTTAACCTCAACTGGTTATACTGGGCACACTTACTCGCAGCTTACTCGATGAAAACAAGATTGCGCCATGCGCTTGCGCGATCATAACCAATTGCCAATATGGCTCAGAGTACCACGTGACCGTGTTCCCCGCTCCCCGGAAACTGCTTTGCCGCCATTCTGTTTACGCTCCCTCCCTTTATTCCTATATCTATGATCTACCGCAATGTCAACTATGCTACAAGAGTTGCGTGCAAATTGTAACCACAACTTGACATCAAGTATTGCACTAAATTTGACATTGCGAGTTTGGCTGACAGGGTATACATATATACCGCAGAGTTCTACAGCAGAGTTACTCTATTTATGCTGTGAATCTGACGTTACGTTGTACAGCAGAGTTACTCTGTTTCTGCTGCGAAGCTGACGTCACGTTATACAGCAGAGTCATAAACATACATTGACATACAGACGGACCGGCATATACATTTAGAATGCAGCGACAGATATATATAAATCTGAGGTATTGCCTGGTCAGGTGAAACGTCAGAATCATATACATCTGTCGCTGCATTCTGTATGTATATGCCGTCAGATTCACGGCATGAGACCAATAACTCTGCTGTAGAATATAACGTCAGATTTGCAGCAGAAACAGACTAACTCTGTTGTAGAACGTAACGTCAGATTCACAGCATAAACAAAGTAACTCTGCTGTAGAACGTAACAGGAGATTAACTGCCATGAACAGAGCAATCTGCAATATAAGCTAATATCATAAACCCAGCAGGCCGTGTGCATAATGTCACCACAGATTGCTACAGATTAACGTTATAAAGAGAGCAGTCTTACGGTATAACCTAGCGGTTTTGGCAATTAAATATTTTTTAAATTTCTCGAAAATATTTATTTACAATATGATTTCAATGATGTTTACAATTCTTACAAAATAATACATATGTAGGCTATATATATTATTTATACGACGATTTCCCAAATCTTGTCATCTGACATTCTTGAGACATCACCCAGTCACCTGCTCTTTCTTCATTTTCATCCGTTCCCACATATATTTGAATATATGCATATATAAAATTGCAGTAATGTGACGTCACCCGATGCGTGGGTCCGCCGGTAAGTGCGGATGGCAGTCGGCAGGCCGGTAAGTGCGGGAAGCACCCGGCAGAGGTCTTCGTCGCGCCGCGTTTCTCACAAGTACTTCTTCCTACATCCGTTCATACAAATACAAATTCCAAAAATCATCTGCTGTCCCGTGTATCTAGGTCAGGTCCCACCAGCTGGGTGATATTAATGCTAGACGTGTAGCATGGGATGATAGATTAGATAACCAGAGAGGTAGGTATATGAAACAATGGGAAGATAGCTTTGGAATAGCATTCAGAATAAGAATAATTACATCCTCGGGACCCACCTTCAAACCTGCTAACTCATTCCTAGATATTTGTATAGCAGACGCTAGGCTCAAATTAAGTAATTCCATAAATGGAAAAGCAAATACTCTTTACCTTATGACAGCGATCATGCTGCAATAGCTATGTCATTTGAACTTTCTATCAATAATGCTCCTCTTTGGAACCCCGTACCGGACCGTTACCGGTTTAATTTCAAAGCCACAAAATGGCATAAGTTTACCAGAAGGCTTGGAAGGGATTACAACAGTAACATACCGAATGATCGTAATCTTTCAATATCTGAGATAGATGACAACCTAAATAACATCAATAATGTTATTTACGAGGCGATAGTTAACAATATACCTAAATTCAAACAGGACAAGAGTGTACAAAGATATTTAAACCATAATATCCGCAAGCTCTTGAAAATTAAGAGTTATCTTGTTTCCGTGTTGCACGACCTTCATATATCTGACCCGCTCTCAAATAGACCAATTTCGCTAATCGCCAAATCAGCCCTAATAGATACCAGAAAAGCTTTACAACTTGAACTGAAAATTTCTACAGATATTGGATAATATCTGTATTGGAGTAATAAAATTAAACAAATTGATTACAGCAAACAGGTTGCCTTTTTCCCTAAAATTAATGCCATTGTAGCAGACCTTTACAGTTTCGGCGTTCCCTTGCATTTTTGCCTACCAGGCTATAACATCTGCATGGCAGAGGTTCAGGGTAGGTTCGAATTACGTTGCCGTCTTCCCAAGTACTTGAAGGAGAACTTTCTCTTTTTCGGGAAAGTCCTGGGAAAACGAGACATGTGTTTTCTCGTGTAACCATGGGAAGACGGTGGAAACGGACAGTTTTGGGCAGAATATCGTCAACCGCCGAACTGTTAACAACGTCTGATACCTCATAGTTTCATTACTTTTGTATTGCTTATTTTTATCAACTGTTTGGTTTTGTTATAGTTTCGTTATTGTTTGTGATTGTTTAGTTCTTGTTTTTGTTTGAATAAAAACTTTATTCTTGTTAGTTGGTGCACATTTACTTTAAAGACACACCCGTGGCTATCCTAAACTATCTTTCGAGCCAAGCAGTTCTCGAATATTGAGAACTTGAAAATTAATGTCAATGATTTTAACACATTAAATAGAAGCAAATGTGATATGAATAAAGCTCATAAAATAGGGAATGATTATGTTTTTACAGCCCCTCAGGATAAATTAAATATAATAGGAGCTTTTTATGAAACAATTAATTCTCCCCGACATCTCAATAGTAACACTCCTCACAAACAGTTAATAGATGAGACAGCGGAATCCATTAAGAATAATTTCAAGATATCTAGAGATCTGGTAAACACCATAACTCAATTCAGTAGAGAGAATCCGGCGAGTAATCCCAATTCGATATATAATCATTTGCATCCATTCTGCAACCCGTGGTCAATTGAGCTCATATTCAAGAATCTGCCTAACAAAACGTCAAGTGGTTTAGATAACATCCCTCCTATAGTACTTAAACACCTACCGAGAAACATTAAATGGGATCTAGCCATTTTATTTAATAACGCGATCAATCATCATTATTTCCCGAAAATTTGGAAAAAAGCTGAAGTTTTACCTATCTTGAAAAAAGGGAAGATTCCCTGTGATCCCTCTAGCTACCAGCCTATTAGTCTGACCCCCAGTATTAGTAAAGTTTTCGAATCAGTTATCAATACAAATATAGTAGATTTTTGTAACACCAATAATATCATTCCTGATTATCAGTTTGGGTTTAGATACCAACATTCCACGACACATGCAATCCATAAACTCTCATCTGATCTCAATACCCTTGTGGCTAGAAGTCAATTTGTAGGAGCTGCCCTTTTAGACATAGAAAAAGCTTTTGATTCAGTTTGGTTAAATGGTCTTCTTTATAAACTACATAAGAAACAATGCCCTAGATGGCTGATTTATCAGATTTGGGACATGATAAGTAGCAAGACATTCCTCACTTGGGATGGTGAAAACCTGTCAACTGAGGAATTTAGTATTACGGAGGGACTGCAACAGGGAACAGTTAACTCACCCATTCTATTTAACATTCTTCTAAGTGATTTACCTAATTTATTTAATCTTAATGACAATGGAAAGTCATATGCCTTAGCTTTTGCAGATGATTTGATTGTTTATACTACGGCCAACAATGTGAATACTGTTAAAGATAATTTAGAGGACTTAGTTGAGAAAATAAACCAATATTATATGACCTGGAACCTAAGATTGAATCCAACTAAGTGCGAGACCATATTATTCAGGAAACCCTTGCATAATTTATCTTCCAAATATAAAGTTGGAAGTAGAGACTTCAGGATTGCAACAACTATTCCTGGTACAAATGATAAAACAAACATTCCTCACAAAAATGTGGTTAAATATCTAGGAGTACATATAGATTATCTACTTAGAGGTAACAAGCATATAGATGTCCAACTAGAAAAAGCCAAATTAGCATTTAAACTGCAGAATTATTATTTTCTGCATCTAACTGCAGAATTTTGTATAATAAGCATCTCTCTATCAAAACTAAGATTATATTATACATGCTATTAATTAGACCTTTTTTTTTTTTTTTTTTTTTTTTTTTAACG